TCCCGATGATCTCGTCAACGCTTCCTCCTCCGATATTGACGACGACGACATCTACGCCAACTTCGAAGTCTATTACGAGCCAGACACGATCCTCGACGAGCGATCGGGCGCCGTCGAGATCGAGCCGCGACTTAACCTCGAAACCAGCGATGGTCGGTGCTTCGTCTGTCAGGCGGACTTCGGCGACAACGAAAAACTGCTGCGGCTGCACCTGCTCGAGGTCCATCGTCTGCAGGGAGTGGCGAGGAAGCTGTACACGTGCTATCACTGCGGCTACGAGTCCCGCTGGAAGGCCAACCTGAAGAAGCACATCGAGCACAGACACCTGATGATCAGGAACTTGCTCTGCCCCTACTGCGGCTACAGGTTTTGTTTCTTTTTCGTTTCTTCTCTTCCTTTCGAGTATTTTTTTAATTGCGGCACGATGAGAGAATATATTGTATACCAACACAACTGCACAGGTTCTTCGAGAACAGCCAGATAACGCGACACCTCATGAGCAAGCTGGGCTGCCGCTAAGTTATCCATATACGAGAAAAGCATGTGTGTACAACGACAACTCGACCGTCTCGCTGCGAGGAAAAATTTCAATATCTTCGTCGTCGTCGTCGTCGTCGGCAGCGGCGCTGCTGCTACTGCTGCTGCTTCCTCGGAAACGATCGCAGTGCATAGCAGAAGCAGCAGCCGAAGCGCGCAAAAGGGCGTGGTGTGGATTACATAAATGCACATAAACGATCGCATATAAAATGTACAGTTATATATTAGCTTGGGTTCCGGCGAATTTGCGGTTGTAATATATATATCTACATAGACTCATATAAATGCGGTACCTGTTTCGCTCGCTGTATAGATATAACCATGACTTGATGTGCAGCGTGCACCGTATTACTCGGTATATGAACGTTCCATTGAACTTTCGACGAACGCGCGTAATTGTATTTGCGGTGAGCTATTCATACTTATATCTAAATGTCATTTATAAATGCATCAAATTTGCTCGAGAAAGAATGAGAGAGAGAGAGAGAGAGAGAGAGAGAGAGAGAGAGAGAGAGAGAGAGAGAAAAAGTAATGTTGTTGTACGTCGTCAACGGCTTTGTAATTGATACCGACTGCAATTAAAGCATCTGATTCTCTCATAATTATTATTGTTATTATCATCGCGGCTCGATTAGCGAGTAAATTACCGAAGGCGTGTGTACTGTGTTGTGTTATATGTGTATGTGTATGTGTATAACGTAGTGCTCGTCTCCGAGCTGCGGTGATTAGTTTCGATATTTAACGACGAGAGTGTACAAGTACGGCGCGGTGCGATCTGTGCAGGTTCATGCATTATATACACATTTATACTCTCTCTCTCGCGCGCGCGCAAGGAATTCCCAATTACAGCATCTGCGCTGGTTCTCAATGTGTATACATATAATAATATGCAAATACGGTAAATGAAATCATAACTCCTGCGCTCGCGCGCGCGCGTCCGTAATAACGTTCGGGGTTTAAATGTAACGACTGCGCCTTCATATATATATATAAATATACCGCGAGCGCAAAACGTACACTTTAACTGCCTCTTTTTCCTCCGCTTTTTTTTCATTCTTATTCGTCATTTTCCTCGTCTAATGCAGTCGAGTGTATTCTATGTAATATGTACTGCGCGAATAGACACGACAAACAGAAAATAAAGAGCGAGCGAGACGGGGAGCTGCAAAAAGGGAAAAGCAAGCCGTTAAACGAATTGGAAGAGGAGGAGGAGGCAAATTTCTGGATTTTCTACTCGGGCGTGTACGAACGAACGAACGAACGGACGGACGGACGGACGGACGGACGGACGAACGGAGCGAGATCGAAGTAGACGAGCGGCGGCGGTCTCTTGCGCGCTCCGACGTTTTATCTCTCTCTCGCGCTGCTGCCATTGATATTTCGAATTAATTAACGCGTGCTTGGTCCGATCGCTTATCGATACATACACGTATATACGTGCCTGTTTATATGCGCTCGCGTGTATTAATAATATCGGTATGCGCGCGCGCAAAACAAACCTGTTAATATTGATATTTATTGAAAGCAACGATCCGATGGTCTCTCGGTTGCGTTTTAATTTTTTTTATTTATATACTTATTTGCTTTTGTTTTTTTCTCGTACTTCTTTTCGCCCGCCTGCGCAAGCCTATAGATATAATGTACCTACGTATAGAGAGCATCGCTATGCGAGCGTTGCATATGTATAGACGAAAGAGTCTGTCTTTATAACGGGCCCCTCCGTTTCACCATGCAAATTGGAAGGCGCGAGCATGATCACATACACACACACATACACGAGCTCTTGTGTATCCCGCGCGCGATTCTTTCACAATTTTCATCGGCCTTCTCTATAACTGCCGCTGTGCGAATGCACTTATTATACGTACAGTTACATATACAGCTGCCGCCGACACTCGCATCGGCATGAACACGTGTGTGTGTGTGTGTGTGCGCGAGCGTTTTCATGCGCATGGATTTTCGGCATATATTACAGTGTACTCGCGATCGAGAGGAGACATTTTTCGGATGAAACTGCGTGAAAATTATCTTACTTCGAGTATACATAAGCTGCCGTTGTATGTGTATGTGTGTGCGACTGTGTACATTATACTTGTAAGCTTACTGTATACCGCATAGGGCCTGTGTTGTGTGTGTGACGCGGTGAGCGGCTTCAAAGCGCGCACCGTACGTATGCAAAGAGATACCATAATGAGATAAGCGTGACCTCGCGAGAGTACATAGCAGCAGCAGCAGCAGCCACGAGAGAAAGATCTTTTACTCTCACGCGCGCGTAAGGTCTCTTCCGGAAACTCGCCGCTGTAGTGCCGTTCGATACCCTAGCTCCATTTATCGGCTCCTGTGTATACGTGTGTGTTTATATACGTAGCTCAGCACCAGCTGCTGCTGCTGTTGCTACTACCGTAGAAAACGAACCATTTTCCGCGAGCGATTATGATTTCCAATTAACGAGGATATACACATCTCTGTAGTATATAATGCGACGACGACAGGAGGGTAGCAATGAAAAAAAAAATAAATAAACTAAAGGACTCGTTAAAAATCGGCGATATAAAAGTGCACGCGTTTTATATATATAGAAAATGTTTTCCCAAGGCTGTATATATATTTGTCGTCGTCTTCGTCGGTAGCTGCTGCTGGTAGCGCGCAACGAGATCGGTTGAATTGTAAAGCCGCTCGCGCGCGCACGGCTATTCCGTATTTATGTACACACACGCGCGAGCGCACATACACGTTACAGCGTATATAGAGAGCGCGTAACGCATGTCGAGCCGTCAATTTATCCGCGATAAGAATGTCCAGAAAAACAATATAATAAATCCCTCCTCTGCTCCTCGCGCGGGGGATACTCGCGGTGCACAGTCTGTATACACACTGGTGTATATAATGGAACCGGACTGTCGCCGATCGGTTGTATGTATAGTATAGGGACAGTCGTGCGTTGCACGCGCGCGGCAATAAGCGCAAGTGACATTCTTCTACGAAGTCTCTCCGAGTCGCGCAAGTGGCTGCAGTTGTTGTCGTTGTAGGTAGTAGCAGTAGCAGCTGCTGCTGCTGCTGCTGTAGCCGGCCGGTGTCTTATAATATACGCGCACACACGCCATATCCAAGGTAGAGATTGATAATACGAGAGCTGCTGGATGCGATTCGTTAAGAGGTTGACGATCTTGCAGCGCGACTATTCCGAGAGCTTCCACATCCTCCGTTGTTATATACCGCGGATGCTTTTCGGGCAAAAATATTTGCAGCGTGACCGTATAAAGCACACCAAGCGCGCTCGAGAGACTCTCTTTTTAATTTGAATAAATTACTCGCGCGCGCGAGCGCAGGAGCCAAGTATGTGCGTGGCGTAAGACCATTCAAAGTATCGGCCATTGTTAATTAACAGAGACCCGGGGATAGCGTTGCATAGCGCATAGTGCACAGCACAGAGCAGTATAGTTGCCCAAGCTCGCAGCTCCGCCGCCGCCGCGCACATTTTTCCATCGGGCAATTTATTATAACGTATAGGTAAAAATGTCTATGTATATAAATATCCATCAATTGGGTACAAGTGTATTTTTACACAATCTCCGTAACAACTATACGGCGCGAGTTCGTTTCTTTTTCTCTCTCTCTCATTTTTTTGTACACGCTCTCTCTCCGCGGGAAAATGTATTCGCCTATTGTATTCAAATATACATTTCTGTACAAAGTATTATCTCTCTCGCTCTCTCACTTCTCTCTGACCGACATGAATATGATAATCATACAGCGACACGCGTGTGCAAGCGTTGATTCATTCCTCTCGCCGGGCGGCGGCGGCGATTGCCGATCGTCGTCTGACGCATTCCAATTGCCTTTTTCGGGGCTACTTTCACTGCCGCTGCTGCTGCTGCTGCTGCCCCCGCAACGATTCCCTAAAATGCGCACTTCGAGCTTACTCATTATTTTTTTACTTATTTTATTATTTTTATAACGTAGAAAAATGAAACGAACGAGTCGGCGTTACGTAACGATGCACGTATAGCAGTGTGCTTTATTATTATTATCATAGCACCGCGAGTTTCTGGCATAATTGATAAAGCGCAGCAGCAGCAACAGCGGCGTATATGAATTACGATTTTACACGAGCCGTGGAGAATCTCTTTCCCGCTACGTATAAAGACTACCTTGCGCTTCTCGCTCTGCGCGTTATATATATATGTATGCCCCTAGAGCTGCTAATATCACGATGTAGTGTAGAGACCGCTGAGGTCGTACAGAGGAGTAATAATTTTTTTTTCCTTCTTTATTCTGCGCAGTTCGTTAATTTTCTCAAGGTTTTTCGGACGCGGTGAGACGCGGAGACCGCAGCAGCAGCAGCCTGGCGCTCGTCGCGTGGGTGCGTATAAAGGATGCAACATTTTTTTTGCACAGATAAATTTGCACAGATAAATATTTTATGGATCGTCAATGCATGCAAATTACAGTCAAAGACTCACGTGATTTTTTTCGGCAGGGTCGCAGCAGCAACGGCAGCAGCGGATTTACCGACGACGCCCTCGTAGTAACGCTCCTCGGACTCGTCGCGGCGCTTGGACGAGGACGATCTCTTGCGACGCTGATTCTCTCTCGCCGCGTCGGCCCTGCAGGCGCCCTGCGTGAAGCTGTAGGTCCTGCGTTTCTTCAGGCACAGCATCTTGACGTCGAGTCGAGCAGGAGTCTTCAGCAGTATAACAGCACTGATTCACCGCTGGCACTTGTAATTTCTTGCATCTCGCGACGACGCAACGGACACACTTTGTATTACAATATGTATAATACGATCGTACACACCAGTGTAATATTGCGAACGCACATACGTGTATGATAAAAAACGCACCACAAGAGACACAAGCACTATACGGTCGACGATCGACGACCACGACGACGAGCACGAATTATAATACGTATAGATCTGCGAACAAAAGAGGAGAACCAAAATATACAAGCGACTATTGATGAGAGATTTCAAAGGATTTGATGGAAAAAGTGTGTGTGTGTATTTATGTATGTGGAGGCATGAGGATCACGCGTGGGTGTAACGACGACAACGAGCTTTAAAGTATACATTTTGGTGAAACTATTGTCTGCCTTCTTTAAGCAACGGCGGGGTCTCCTTTTTTTTCTTTTTGCTGTCGCCTTCGACATTCGAAAGGTGAGCTGGCTTCGAAGAATTTATTCACTTCGGGGGTCGCTCTCGATTTTAAATGTATAAAAAAGAAAAAAAAAGAAAAAAATAGGCACCTCGGCTCGGCTCGAAAGACAAATATGTATGCAGCTGATAAAGGCTGACAGCCGCGCGCTCGCTCACCTCGCTCCGCAGCAATTTAATAACGTCTGCGTAAATAAGCAATTCGCTCTCTAATCTTTATCAAGAGAGCTGCTCCGAGAGTCTCTCGGGATGATATACATATGCTATATATATATAATGTAACGGATATTATACGACATTGATTACAGTAATAAACAACGCATACGGAGTGCAGTGCAGCAGCGCAGCTTTACGCGCTCGAGATTCGCGCGAGATATTGCGAGCGAGCGAGCGAGCGGCTCAAAATGACATAACGTTAGATAGATGTGTGTGTGTGTGTCTGAGCTGCTGTTGGCCCTTCATCGCGATATATATATTGTACACAGCAGTATAAACATCCTGACGACGCAAACGCGCTACATCCTGCGATTATATGCGCGCCGGCTCTCTTATGCCCATTATAAAATATATATATATATCTGTGAAATTATATGCCTCACGAAAAATCTTGCCGCGCGAGCGCTTAAATTAGAGGATGCACTGCTGCAGCAGCGGTGCGCGCTTTATAACGTATACCGGCACGTATATGCTTGTACACATTATACACGAGCGCATTTGGAATGAAGCATTTTCAGCGTGACGCGTGCGCCGCGCGACTGTGTAATGCGAGGGTCCCGAGTTTTGATAAATTTGCTCCTCGTGATAGGTAAATATGTTCCGCGTGTGTTATGTGTGTACGTTTGAATGCCGATATGAATGAGAAACGCGCGAGAGAGAGAGACTAATGTACACACGCGAGGAGGAATTAGGAGCGTTGACCGAGTGTTCGCGGATGATCATCCGCGTATCGTGTGATACTCCAAAAACTCGCGCATGGAAAAGTTATGAATTTTTAATGACCGAATTTTAGCAGCGGATTGCGATGTGTAGTCGTCGTTCGACACACGATTATATAGCGCGAAAGAGCGAAAGAAGAGTAGCGAGAGAGAGAGAAAAAGTGGCGTTACGTTAAAAACCCGTATATGCACCTCGCTCCTGCGCTAACGTTACATTATCAAAGCATAAAATGTCATTTACCGGTATAATACACACGTACGCGCGAGCGAGGCGCACATATGCATGTGTATGGATGTATGCCCGCGTAATATATAAGGCAGAGGATCGAGAACACACAGACAGACAGACACAGACCGCACTCGTGTCGTATATATGTATATTATTGTGTGCACACTTACGGCCTCGGAGCTGAGAGAGTGAGACTCCGATAAAAAAAAAGAAAATGAAAAAAAAATACACCGGTATGTATATGTGCAGCGGAATCAGCTGCTGCTGCTGCTGTAATGCTGCACACGACGATCGACACTCGGCACACGCACTACATATATTTTATTGTAACATCGCACAAGGCACACTGCGAACTTGAACTGCATGTACCTATTTTATATAAATTAAATTCAAGATTAAACGACGAGGAAAAGCCAAAATTTTCGTTGTATCTTTATTTTCTCTCCAATCGACCGAGCTCGAACGATCCTCGTGCGCGCAAATTGTAATAATGATGGAGAAAGGAGTAGAGTGACATTTACCCTATATATTTCTTTCTACGGTGCTGTCTTAACTAATGTAATAATGAACCTCTCGCAGTGCACCGCGAACTCCAACAACAACAACAACAACGACGACGAAAAAAAAGCCCCACTCATATGTACGTATACACACATATAACTCGCGCGCGCGATCACAGGGTAAATATATATATATATATATGTATACACGACGTCAGGCTCGCGCCGATGCCATAACTGTACTGCCGGAAAGAAGTTTGCATCGAGCCTCTCGAGGTGTATATAAGTGCTATATATATACACGCGAGGCTCGCGCGTCGTCGTCGTCGTCGGCGCGCTCACGGGCAAACATACCTGTGCGCCGCGCACGTATATATATATATATATATATATACAACACAGACACATAGTAGCTCCGAAGAGAGAGAGAAAGAGTGAGAGACCGAGTGTGTCTATAAGGTACGAGAGAAAGAAAGAGAGAGAGAGAGAGAAATATCAGCCACCGCGCGCGAGCTTGTGTATGTATGTATAGTGTTGTGATATGCCAAGCCGAGAGAGAGCCGCCTCGCGCATTATAATATGCGTGCATTACACCTGTGTTGTGTCTCTCTCTCTCTCTTACTCTGCGTTGTTATTGTTGCTGTTCGTGTCGTCGTGTAAACGCACGCAGACTCCCATTGCGGTGTCTGTCTGTCGCGAGTGTACATATATGCGTGCAACTAACTCGCGGGCATAGACGAGTCAATTCGCCGATCGCGTCGCCGATTTTGCGTACACATAATACGACAATACAATGTTTGTCTTGCTTCAAATCCTGCTGGTATTTTACTTTCTTTCGACCTTTTTTATTCCGAAAGAGAAAAAAATTACAATTTTCACGAGCTTATAAACTCGATTATCTCGCTGGTAATAATGATAATACGTGGCGGAAAATATCGATGTCTCCTAATCACACGCAATTATAATTGCTCTCCTAAGCTCTCTTAAAAGCTTTTCCGTGCATTCTTACAAGCTCTCTGTACGCGATCTCGAATACCGCGCGTAATTATACCGATCGCAAGAGCGCGCGAGAGCGTTTAGAAGCGCCGCCTTCTCTCTCTCTCTGATATTTATACGTTTGATAGTATGTGTGCCGTGTGTACGCGCATTAAATATCGATATATAATTGCCGCGGTGCATTACTCGTAATAGTCACTTTTCATTATAATTATTATTTATTTAACTCTGTTATTTATAATTTTTTTCCGAAGAAAATTCAGCATCGTTTAATTTAACGTTACCGCTTCGCACGCGTGTAGCAGAGGAGAGAGGAGAGCTTTCGAGAAGTGCGCACGGAGCCGGACTTCTAAATTCCGCAGAGTCCACGCGAGTCTCGAGCGCAAGGATATGTGTACGTGTGTGTGTATATAAGCGCATAGTATGCACGGAAAAGATGCAAGGCCGTGACCAAGGCCACCTCGGACGCGAGAGCCGCTCAAACACACACACCAACACACGTATGGCCTCTTTCTTTCTTCTTAATATTACATACTGTGCAATTACTGCCTATTAATTTTCAAGCTCTCTTTTCTAGATAGCCCTAAATTATAACTCGATCTTCCGAACGAGAACGAGAAAAAAGAGTGCAAAGAAGACGAAGTAGAGAAGAAGAAGAAGAGTATATAGACGATGATGAAGAAGAAGAAGAAGAAGAAAACTACACGACGAAGCAGCAGCAGCGGCGGCGACGGCGCTCGGTATAGGTACGGTCCAAACCGGAAACGTTCCATGCTTTTCCCATACGTGGTTTGCTGCCGCTTGCCTGATGCACTCGATGCGGTCCGCGCGTGCTTCGGTCGACGATCTTTACATTACACGTAGGTACATCCATGTGTACACTCAGTAGAGTTGCGGCGGCGAAGGCTCATCTATGCACACACACACACAGGTATACCGCGCCGAATGGATCTCTATTTTCCTTCTCTCTCTCTCCCTCCTCTAATCCCTCGTAGCGTGTATACATTTAAAGTTTAAGCTTTGACGTTTCGCATATATATGAATACACACACACACAGGTGTAGTCGGCAGCCGAGATCAACTCGCCGCCGCATCTCTAAATTATAAGTTGAGAGATCTTTCAGAGTTGGCTCGGCACTACTCGGTGTACACTATACTATACTCGGTTGGCGCGCGCGCTTAGGCATGCCTGTAATTTTCTCTCCACTTGATGCGCTTGAGCTGCTGCTGCTGCATCGCAAGTGCGCGACTTGTTTATTTGTATATGTATACAAGTGGACTGAGAGAGAAAGAGAGAGGGAGAGAGCCGAGCTTTTTTGCTTGGCTGATCTCGCGTATAGTACACACACATGCGCGCGCAGGGGTTAATGTTGTTTGACGCGCATAGAGAGAGAGAGAGGAAAAAAAGCGTGTGCGTTTAATTTTTTAATCCGTTCTTTAGTGCGAGTTTTTTGAATTAATAATGGTAGGGCGTGTCAAGTTCTTAAAACAGCCGCGGCGCTACGTTCGGAAAGTGACAGTCGGTTGTTTTTTTTTTCTGGTCTTTCGTGTTACGACGACCCGAACAAAGAAAGATCGCATCGCTCCCTGCTGCTGTTACTGCTGCAGAGCGAGAGATTTTCGTGAATAAAGAAAATTAAAAATACATCTTGAACCGTGAGTGACAAATAGTAAGTGTAATAGTTCGTTCCTGAGTGCGTATACAGAAAACGATGGACGTGCTGTCCTACGACGAATTTATCGAAAGTTTCGAAAGTCTTCACGTCAAATGGAGAAACGCCTGCGACGAAATCAGACTGGACAACCTGAAAAAATTGAAGAGCATGCGCGAACGGGTCGATGATTGGTCGACGAAAGAGGAGCGACGCAAATTTCTCCGTGAAATCGACCCCGTGATCAGCGAACAGAGGAGCGGATGTCTACCCGAACCCCGAGACGTCTTCGAGCCCGAAGAGATAGATCGTCTTCTCTTGGACGCCATAGACTGCAGGCGTTGGTGCGAGCACAATTTCCTCGGCGAGAGATTCATCGGTTACGTGGCTCGCAGCGGCTACAAAGACGATCGTCATCGTCGTCGTACCCGCGTCGACGACGATCAGGGAGAGCCAATTTTGCGTCGCACCACGGCGCTGCATCGAGCGGACAGAGGCCGATTCTACGACTTGAGGGGCGTGGTCGACGATCTTTTTAAGATATACGACCGATTCGACTTGAACTACATCGACGCGGAGTCCGGCTTGACACATTTTCATGTGGCCTGCCAGTACGGCTCCAAGGAGGTCGTCGCCAAATTCCTCGAGCTCGGTAAGGTCGATCCCAATTATTACTCCACGATCGTGGATCCGCCGCTGCATCTGGCCATGAGGCACGAGAACGTCGAGGCGTTCGAGCTGCTGCTGCGCAACGGCGCCAGGCCCGACTCGACCGACGCCGAGGGACTGACGCCTCTGCACCTGATGAAGTGCTCGACGAAATACCTCCTCATGACGAAGATGCTGTTCGAGATCTGTCAGAAGTTGAATCGACCGGTGGAGGTCGACGCTCACCGGGACCGCGAGGGCAACACACCGTTGCACCGGGCGCTCGACGACGACTACGGTAAATGGGTCAGGCTGCTGCTGTCGCGCGGCGCCTCGCCCCAAGCGGTCAACGCCGAGGGATCGACCTGTCTGCACGTCATCTGCAAGCGCGACGCCGACGACGACTCGTGCTGCGCCGGAGCTCGGCGTTTCTTCAAGCACTGCGACCAGCTCAACAAGACGGTGCTGCTCGACTTGCGGGACAACGAGGGTCGCACGCCTCTGCACTGCTCGCTGGCCAGCGGCGACGAGGGCATGACCGAGCTACTGATACGCAGAGGCTCCGATCCCAATCTGGCCGACGCCCGAGGCTCGACCGCGCTGCACTTGATCGTCGGCCGCGGCAGAAGACGCGACCACGATAATTGCGACTGGCTGAAGCGCTTGTTCGCGATCTGCGCGGAGCCGGAGGTGGCTCGCGTCCTGCGAGTCGACGCCCGGGACAACGAGGGCCGGACGCCGCTTCAACTGGCCGTGGCGCAGCTCTGGCCGGACGCGGTTCTCGCGCTGCTGGCTCGCGGCGCCGACCCGGCCACCACCTTCCGCATGCCCGCCGAGAGCGAGTTCGACGACTGTCTCATGTCCTACGTGGGCAGCACTTCGAGCAGAGACGAGCTCAAGTACAGAGTCACGTCGGACGTGCTCGGCATCGTTCGGCTGCTGAAGACCAAAGGCTACGAGCTGTCGGCGAGCGACGCCACGACCTTCATGAATCTCTTCGCCAAGCTCGGATTGTTCAACGACGACAACGACGACCAACGTCGCTGGTACGACACGGACGAGGAGTTCGTCGCGTTAGCCGCGAGGATAATGGTACAACCGGGCCTGTCGCTCTTGGGCCTGCTTCAACTGTCGCCGGACGAAGCCGCGCAGCGACTCACCTACGGCCTGTTCACGATCACGCGTCGACTGTACGTCTCTTCGTTGACGCATCCAAACGGAGAGTCTCGTCGGCTGCACAGGTGCGACGCCGAGATGTGCGCCATACTGCTGAGAGGATTCTGTCGCGGCTGGGCGCTGCAGTCGCTGCGGGAGCTGCTGCCCAAGTCGCCGGCTGCTCGATGCTGCGAGTCGATCGCCGAGAGGCTGAAGACCGAAGATCTGTGGCGCTTGTGCGTGGCTACTACCAACGGGCGGCGTAGTCGTTGAACGAGCTGACCCGCGATGTGTGTTCCTTGCTTTTGTTCGAATAAATTAATTTAATAAAAAAAACGAAAATTGTATCTCAATATTATATTCTTTGCATCTCTTTTATACGTACAATACTGTTTGTACTCGCTCGCTCCGAGCGTATAATTACGAATGAGCGCACGCGTAAATATTCGCGCGACACCACCACTGCTGCAACCTGCACTTCTCTCTCTCTCTCTCTCTCTCTCTCGTATCAAAGGACTGCTGCTGATGCATTGCGATTACGACTGTACGTGTGCGTATGTGTGCTGTGCGCGCAGCTCTCTCGAGTAGTGTGCAGTTATGTTGGACTTGACCGCTAGCCGCCGCCGCAGCGTCGAGAGCAAGTGTACGTTGTATGAATATGTGTATATACAATAGTCGTGAGCAGCAACAGCAGGTAGGACGTGTGTGCGTTGCTGCTTAAATATCTATGTGTACGAAACGTCCAAGCCTTATATCTCTCGTCGCGATCCTTCTTC